CATGATGCAATACTTGGTTGTAGTTGCCTCGACGTCCAGGCATGTATTATCACTCTTTTATGGAAATGAACTGAAAACACTAGACTCTGTACTTACTTAGCTGTTTAAATTATGCAATAATGCAGTGCAGTGTAAAATTATGGAAACAGTTTTTGTCACATTTGCATCAGCCTCTAGAAAGGATTTAATCCTTGCCAAACACCCTGTCAGGAATATGAAAAAAAGAATACACAAAGTGTTACTTCTATTTTAACAATGTGATTGCATATTTTTCATATTCTGAGGCAGTCTTGTTACTTTAAATCACTTAGTTAGAGATATTTGTAATATAAAGAAAACCCAGAAAAGTCTGAAGACTGCAAATGTCTAATTGCTGTAGAACAACAGAACGGTTTGGGTTGGAAGGGACCTTAAAGATCATCTAGTTCCAGTCCTCCTGCTGTGGGCAAGAACAGCTTCCACTAGACCAGGCTGCTCAGAGCCCTATCCAACCTGGTCTTCAACACTGCCAGGGGCATCCACAGCTTCTCTGGGCAGCCTCTTCCAGTGCCTCACCACCCTCACAGTAAAGAATTTCTAATATAAACCTGCCCTCCTTCAGTTTAAAGCTATTCCCCCTTGTCCTGTCACTACATCCCTTTGTGAAAAGGCCATTTCCTGGCCTTCTTATGGGCCCCCTTCAGGCACTGGAAGCTGCTATAAGATTTCCCCAGAGCCTTCTCTTCTTCAGGCTGAACAACCCCAGCTTAAGTAGGTAAGAACATTTCTAGGAGCTGACATTATGTCAATATATGTCCATTGTACGTATGTGTATTAATTAAATAAAGTCTAAAATTATTCAAATTGAATGGTAACAAGTGTATTAATATAGCTCAAAAACCTATGCCCAGAATTTTATTCATTGCAATAGTCTGATTTTAGCCAGTGGTAAATGCCTACTTAGTAAATGCCTAAATCAGAGGGGTCAGTCCAAATCTGTAAGTAAATTAATATTAGCTAGGGTAATGTTGATACCACTGGTCATTGTCAGAGGCCTAAATTTAATTTTATTTATGAGACTAGAATTGAGGCATTATTAATATATTTTGATTTTTCATTACAAGCAAGTTGTCCAGTGTGAAAGAGAA